ACATACATACATACATACATACATACATACATACATACATACATACATACATACATACATACATACATACATACATACATACATACATATTTGTGTGTACTGGTACGCCTTTATAGTCGTTGTGTAATTAAATGTAATTATAGTTAAATGAATATATGTCCGGCACGCTCAAGAACGCGGAGCAAATTCAGCAACAGGATTGCTCTGATTCTCCCCTGATCCATGAAACATGACATGGCAGGGCATGTCGAGCAATGAAGGAAGCACCTGAGAATTTCTTAGATGGAGAAAACAAGTGGAGCCTGCTCGCCTCTGCCTTTCTCATAATTCTGGTCTGCAACGTGGACCAAACGCATGCCCCTGGCCCAGGAAAATATGCCATCCCCTTGATTCCCCTTCACCCACACTAAATGTGGGACCGGATCTGGCAGTGTCCCTAAGATGTTTCAGAATGCTTCAGAGTGTTGGTGATTAGGACTAGGGGGACCATAGCAGCCATAGCATTTGCTTTCTTCATGCTTGGTGGACCCATATCCACCACACATGTCGTGCTACCATCCCTTTGCCACGCCGGACGCCATGCCCACCGTCCGGACGCGTCGCGTCGCTCGCTCCAAGGCGCTCCGCATACCACTGGTCTGCGCTGGCTTGGGCCTCTGCAGAAAGGCTCACCGGCGGAGCGAAGGACAAGGTGTAGAACGTCGCTGCCTGAGCGGCTGCAGGCGGAAAGCGCGGCAGGTTTTGTACGAAAAGCTGGGAAGAACAGCTGTTCATTTTAGAAGTGTCCTTTGGTGTTTGTAATTAGAACGGATCATCAAGAAAGTGTATTAGACTTAAAGCAAAACTGTGCTTCTCACCATCACAAGTTCCAAACATAGCAAGAGACCAAACACCAAATCTCACCAATGAATTCAGAAGCCAGCAACTCAAATAGCTTGCGGTGTGCATGTTGAACTGCTGTCAGTCTTCTAAGTCGGCGCCCCTGCCAAGGCTCAATGAAGCTAGCCGCGAAAAGGAAGGGCCGTCGCCGGCCCCAGTCTCGGCCGCAAATGCGGCGGGTGCTGTCCTTAGCTGCAAGACAACCGAAAACAAAACAAGGTCCTCCAGGTTATGCACGTTCGTCGTGCTGTCTTTCTCTGCAGGAAGACCTGGAACTGTTCCGTCTTCCCTTCTAGGTCAACCTCATTGCTTCTTGCTTTCTCTGTTTAGGGAGGGGGTGAGTGGGTATAGACTGGGGAACCCCAGCCAGCCGCACTTGTAGACTGGCCCGTCTGCTGCTTCAGGTGCCCACTGACCACCATCCCAAAACCGCCTGGTTTCAACCAACCGCTTGAAATGCCCAAGGCTCGGTCAAAGCGGCGATGAAGGGATCCTCGGACGAGCTAGAAATTCACATGGGAGTTGTCCAACAAAGCTATTCTTTTTGAGCTTGTATCGCCGGCCTTTCGCGACCCTTTCGCGTTTGCAGAAAAACCACAGGTTTTCCTTTCGCGCATTGTGATGAGCTTCACTGAGTTCACAGTGTTTGGGATATCTAAATACCTGTTAGTGCGCTGAGAAGCAGGCTAATTACCCTTTGTCAATTCATACTTGAAACAAATGTTTCAAGGCTTATTTCAAGGCCATGGATGGGCAGATGACCTTCCAGGCAATGCGCCCTTTCGCGGGCCTACCGCCGGCCTTTCGCAGCCCTTTCGCGAAAATCCGTGTTTCTGTTCGGGAAAAAGGATGTGTCATGTATTATGCACATTGTATGTAAGTCTAGGTTGGCACATGTCTTTCGCTGTCCTATCGCCGGCCTTTCGCGGACTGCAGTTTCCCTTTCGCGACATGTGTGTTTTAACATTTGATCGAAATTCCTTCACTGGCAATAACGGACGGCCCTCACATGCACATCCCATAATGAGGAGGATGGATGTTTAATCCAACTGCGGTGGGTTTATGAAATAGCCTACATCATGGAAATTGATGATCTATTCACTTCTGGGCTCCAACCACCTCTGTTTCGAAGGTGCCTGGGGTGGGTGGGTTTGGGGGGTCTAACCACCGAACCTGAGGATATGAGCCAAAAAGCTCTAGAGTCAGTACTAAGCCACGCTGGTTCCACAGCCCTAGAGGTGTTTCTGCCAGCTTTTTTACGACCCTGGCAAGACAGATATGAACTTCTTGGGATCCAACTTCGGATGAGCTTCTCAACGGGGGGTCCCCTATATAGGACGATCAACATAGCTTTGGTGCGCTTTGTGAGACAACCAATCCGAAGAGAAGTCCTACCAGGAGACATCAGGAGACCCTTACTAATTAGGGTCCAAACAACACCCCTTGGGGTCTCCTGGTAGTTGGCCCCCCTGACTTTGCACATCTCCCACTTTTCAGCCCAACGCCCCGTTTTCCGACGAAGAGTTGAAACCACCGGCACCCCCGAAATCCGACATCCGTTCCGCGGACGTACGGACGGACGGACCTACGGCTCTCGGCCACCGAGTTGCAAAGGCTAAGTCTAAAAGGGTGGCGATGATGATGAAGGTCGAGACCACCGTGAGCCTGCCGGGCCCCGAGACACCACGGGATCCAGATCAAACAGTCTTAGTCGCTGGAAGACGGCCCCAAAACGCGGAGAGACGAAACGAAGGAGAGCTGCCCGGTTTTTGTGGAGGGCCTACTGCATGAGTATACAGGTTTTACTGTATTTTTGAAAATATTGGATTTTTTTTGCTCAATTTGGATATATGGGCCCGCGAATTGGGATGGTTTGGATCTAAAAGGGATCAAATATCGGTATTCCATCACTTACGACATGCATGGAGTGAAAACATGCGTTGCATTCGGGAGACTGAAGACTGCAAAAAAAAACATGGTGTTGGACTCGACTGTCACCGTTTGACTCGGTATAAGTCTATATATTTAGAATAGCAAACTGGATTATGGTGGTTGATTCTCTTCGTCTGACTCGTGAGCCTATTTTCTTGTGCATCTTCTTGAGGTGTCAAATGCTGTCGATCTGACCATGCATGAACATCTGGTGGTTGTGAGGAGGGGAAACACATGGAAACACCCTGCGGGCGAGGTCCGTCTAGCCCACTGAGGTCTCTGTTGCGGCACAGAAGCGAAGCTCTTGGGTAGTCATCTGTGTAGAACTTCTTCATGTACCCCACCTCAAAGTACCTCTGCACTGCGGTAATCCAGCCGAGGCAGGAGTAATCCTGCAAAAGAGTCAAACAAATATATGCACGTTGGAAAGGGGTTGCATGCAGCTCTCCAGGAATTGGTTCAAACACCCACTGAACAACCAAGCCACGGGTCGTCATAGTCACGGTCTGACCAACGGAAAATTCAAGTGCATGCAACAAGAATGCAACAACAACAACAACAACAGCAGCAGCAGCAACAACAACAGCAATTACTCATACACTCACACACCCAAAAAAGCCAACAAAAGAAAGACTGGGGCTTTCAGCTCCATCCAAACAGGAAAAACACACCTGTGCCATCCTGTGCCCCACTTTCTGCTGCCGCGCCTCAAGGCTGAGTAGGACAAAACAGGAAAGGTCACCGCCATTTTCGTTCCACAACTGCGGAGCCGGCCGGACGGGCGTGCGGTCCAGTTGGTGGCGGTCTGGTGCGGCTCCGAAAACCGGGCCGCCACCAACCCCCTTAGACTCAGTCATGACTTGGGTGCATCCGTCCTGACCTGGGGCCCAGTGGATGATGGTTTGGTTCGGTTGGCCATAGAAACCAAAAGTCGTGATGTTCTTAGTTGACGGGTCCTATTGCAGGTAGTAAGAGATGACAGACCCAACAGACATGACCATGGTCCAAACATGGTCCAAACCAGATCATTCCGACTCACTCAGTGCAGCAATCGTCTTGTGGTAGCATGACACAGGGAGTTGGGTAACATCGTTCTTTTGGTGGCAGGGGCATTCAGAGATCCCCGATCGAAACAGTCGACACTCAAGACACCTCGACCCACTTGGAATCGGGATCAGTGTGGGAACCGGCGTCTAACGTACAAATCTCTGAGCTAACCGCTAACGTTGACAACCTTGCAGCTCTGTGGTTCTGTCTTCCAACAAAACCTCTAAGAACACTTCTTCACCGCTGGTGACAATTGTGCAACTTGGGAATCACATTACTTGATCCCAGGGAAAGCTAGCAAGCCAAAGTGCCAAAGACCCCAAATGCTTGCCATTACCGCAGTGAAACTCCAACAACCTCGAAAAAACAATCACAACTTCCTAAGATCCCTTGGATTCAGATGGTTCTGGTATGTAATTTAAGCTGTTGATGAATCAAACTTCCCATATTAGAGGGCATAGAACTTATGGTCCAGTAGGGATGTTTGCTTTAACCGTTAACCAACGTCATCTGTATTCGTTTCGCGAATCCTTCGACAAAAGCTCTGTGCTCTTCCATGCTCGTCTGTGCTGATCCGCACCTCAACGCCCCAAAGTAAGACTTTCCCTCTCTGGTGCTGCTGTAGGCCATGGGATAGGACTCCTGTTTTTGGAGGGAAAATGAGACGGAGCCCGATCGACGAGGAGAAGAACACCTGTGGTGCCTCATCCGAAGAACAGTTCGTTTCGTCAGCAGAGCATATATGATGGAACACCCTGTCTGGGTGCCCTAGCTGGATCACACAAAAAACAGGAATCTCCGTCTCCAGGACACCCAAACAGGATGGTCCAGGTTTTGTTGGGTTTGGTGTCTTGTGGAGCCGCCTCTGTGCTCCACTTCTACAAGATTCTCAAAGACTAAGAAGAGTCCTTCTACAAGTCATGGGCCAGAGTGACGGAGGGGGTGTTGACAGCCGGAAATGCAATCATCATGAAGATTGCTGCGCCGCGCCAGCCACAAAATGTTCCAGTGGCCAGTGGCCTTCCTCGAGCAGCTTTCCGCCTCATGCCACCTTTTGATTGAACCAACCGTGCACAAAATGAAGCTTTCTCCATGGAACAATCTGGCTCTAAATGTGAGAGTGGGGTGACAAGCCCATGCTTTGGGTCCAAACCCCACAAGGGCTTTGATGGATGTCAATTCCAAGTCCGAACGCAAAGAGCCAAATTTTGCCCACCTCTGAAAAAGGCAAATCATAGCAATTCAATGCAATTCACTTCCAGTGTGCTTTTGGAGGAAGCCGTGACCAGGATGAAGAATTTTAAGCAGCCCACGTGCAGAAATGCTTTATCGCACAAGTAGAAATGCTTTATCGCGCATTTAAAAATTCCGCCACCGGGACTCAAGCCCGGGTCGCCTGGGTGAGAGCCGAGCATCCTAACCAGCTAGACTATAGCGGATTCTGTTGAGCAGAAGAGGGAGCCACTCTACCACAGGATGCGTGTATATTGAGCCAGCATGCAGGCACGGCTGTGGTCTTCAAGCACTCGCCTTTTTGGCTCATCAGGATGGCAGGGCACGCGCAACGCTTGACGTGTGTGGACAGAGACATTTCTTATTGATGGGTGACCCAATCTCAAGGCATCACGACCGTTTTGCCCGAACCTAATCAAACCACTGCCGGGAATCTACCAACTCATATAAAGATCTGAAAGCCTCCATTGCCGTTGGCTTCTCCACCTTACCTGATCCTTATACCTCATCTTTCCTCCCCTCTCCAGCCTCAAAAAAACGACTTCTTGACACCGTCGCACGGTCACCACGGTGACGCCCCCGATTGGTCGGGAGGAATTTCGGGTGTCGCTCAGAGCGGCCGCCGCTCCTTGAAGGCTTCGGTGGTCCCCTTGCCTCACAGCTGATCAGGATCTGACCGAGGTCCAGGTGGTTTCGGCCAACTAGGGCGAGCAACTACTGAATGGAGGGCCGAATGGATTTAGATGATTTGGATTCATTTCAAGCTGCGATTTCAATTTCATTTGTTGATCTTCACAAGATCTTCTGGGACCCACATGGGTCCATCATGATCCTTCGTCATTCATCTTCCAAAGTTATACTTATGTTGCCATCTGTGACCAACACATCTCACTCATCCGTCTTTCTTGATACCCATTCCGATGTCGGGCCTCCAGAAGCCATGGCATCATCTCCGTCCGGCTCCTGCGAGGGTACAACGTCAGACGAACGAGAGAAAAGCTCGGCCAAGCGGCCAAAAGTACTGACCTAGCTCACCGGACCTCTACCTAGTTCGGTCAAGAATTCATGCACCCAACTAACCAAAGTCACGAAGTCAGTTACTGAGTAGTGAGTAATGCAAAGACCGGATTAATAAACCCCCCCCACATGGTACAGTAGGTCAACAAGGTCAAGAAGGTATGAGATTCCATTCATGAGGTCCCCTCCCCCTGAATTATCGGCTCAGGGAGCCATCGTAGTCGCAGTCGTCGTCGGTAGTAGGTAGTAGGTAGTAGGTAGTAGGTAGTAGGT